ATATTTTATAATGAGTGACTCAAATTGTTATAAACTTTGTCTTCATTATATACTTATTATTGTTAGTTCGTTTAGATTTAATTTTTTGAAGAAAATAAAATGTTTTCATTCTAAACTAATTAGTCCTTTTACTAAAATCAATTATTTGTTATTCAAAATAACAATTTCTTAATTTTTGTAATATACGGAAGGTCACATTTTTTCAAGAAAAATTTAGATACAAATAATTTTGTATGTAGTTAGGATGTTCAATTAGGATTAAAAATTCACCTCTATAATTTATGTATCTATGTTTATTTAATAATTTTTTTTATAGAAAAATAAAGTATAGTTTTAATAAATAAACATTTAATATTATCCAAATAGCTTTATACAGCATGTGGAAACTTGTAAATCTTCCCCATCATAAATATGAATTTAAAACTTTAACTTTCCTTTGTAATTAATTATTCACCATTGTATTAATAGGAATATTACTTTAAAACATTAATTTGACAATATTAATTTAAAGTCTGTCATTTTCTTAGTTTTCTCAGCCGAGACATCGAAACTCATCATTGAATATTCATATAAATTAGACCACCGTGCGTGATTCTATTTTCTGTGTTTGTTCTGTTCTTCGATCATTGTCCAAATGAGTTCTCTTCTGTGCTTGCTTGTGGCTGTTCTTCCACTTCTCTGCAATATTGCCGCTGCTTGTTCTAATGGAACGTGCAAGGTTTGTATCCCCACTCTACTACTTAGTCAATTTAAATGTTATACATTTTTTCTTGTTTTCATCTTTTGTTGGTTCCAAAAAACTAATCTTTGATCGTAGCTTCTTGATGAGTGCTCATCTGATGGAGATTGTGGCCCTGGACTCTATTGTTTTTCCTGTCCATTTGGGTTTACAGGCTCTAGGTGTGTGAGATTAACTGTCACAAATCAATTCAAGCTCATTGTAAGATATCAATCTCTCTATACTTTTTGCCTAATTTTTACACACGCGTTGACTTTGATTATGCAAACGCATAACTGAGAAAGAATCAAAAGAGGGGGGGTAGGATAAAATGAATAGTTTGATTGAGAGAGATAAATACAGTAGAGAAGGTGTGTGACAAAAGTATTATGAGAAAATATTATGTGAATAGCATATCTGAATGAGAAACTACTCTAAGTCATGAGACTTTCTAGCTTGCATAAACCAGGTCAACAACCATGTGGTCGGATGACTTGGATTAGGTTATATGGTTTTGTTTTGGTGATATTGGTCAAACCTATTACAACGACCATATTACCATCACCACTATTATTATATATTATCACTATCTTCTTCGTTAGGATCCAAGAGAAAGTCTAAATGATGTCTAATAGACCATTTTTTAAAAGTTTATTATCTAGTTTAGAAATTAAAAAACAAAACAAGATCAATAAAGTTATACGAAGCTATTTAAATGTGAAATATAGATAAATACATGTTTATTTATATTTTGCATCTGGTTAAAGAAAAAAACTAGGCTATTTTGATCATAATCTCTTCTTAATGGCTTTTTTTTTCGGATAGAATAATTCATTACCGTTCAACAAATATGCATTTTTGACAACACACAACGCTTATGCCATTGATGGGGAGCCTTCTCACACAGGCGTGCCTCGAATAACTTTCGACAACCAGGAAGACAATGTCACCCAACAGTTAAATGTATGCTATTCACTGCTACTAAATATTCCTTAAATGTCATTACTTTTCTCATGCTACGATTCTCATAAGAAATATGTTTGAGGCACCCTTGTATTTGGTTATTTTGTAGAATGGAGTGCGGGGATTAATGCTAGATACATATGATTTTGAGGGAGATGTGTGGCTATGCCATTCATTTGAAGGCCAGTGCCATGACGTCACAGCTTTTGTACGTAAAATCATCCACCCAATTATGCTTGTTTTTGTTCTATGATTTCCAATCTTATTTTTGGAGGAAACAAAGTTGAAAAACGATCGATTGCTACCTCCACACCAAGATCCTAAATTGTGATTAACTAGTAGGAACCTGCCATAGACACATTGAAGGAAATTGAAGCTTTTCTATCAGCAAATCCAACAGAAATTGTAACAGTTATTTTGGAAGATTATGTTCATGCCCCAAATGGTTTGACAAATGTCTTCACCAAAGCCGGTCTGATGAAGTATTGGTTTCCACTGACAAGCATGCCAAGAAATGGCCAAGATTGGCCTCTAGTCAGTGATATGGTTGCCAAAAACCAAAGATTATTAGTGTTCACTTCTATTAAGTCTAAGGAACAAAGTGAAGGCATTGCTTATCAGTGGAATTTCATGGTTGAAAACCAATGTAAGGAAACAGAATCCATCAAACCAATTTCATTCTTCAGGTTTTTATTCACGTTTTTCTTGTCTTTCTGGCCAAGTTCTTATCTTGAATTGTGCAGATGGGGATGGTGGTAGGAGAGCAGGAAGCTGTACAAACAGGGCAGAATCATCTCCTCTTAATGACAAAAGCAAATCCTTGGTGTTGGTAAACTATTTTCGATCCACTCCAATCAAACCAATCACATGTGAAGATAACTCAGGAGAACTAATTAATATGATACACACTTGTTATGGTGATGCTGGTAACCGGTGGGCTAATTTTGTTGCTGTTGATTATTACAAGGTTGGTTCTAGGCTACTTTTGTTTCTTCTTCCAAATTCTGTAGCTAAAGCATCAATTTCTTTAACCCATAATCTTTATAATATGGAGGGCTTATTATGTAGAGGAGTGAGGGAGGAGGATCGTTTCAAGCTGTAGACACTCTCAATGGAAAGCTATTGTGTGGATGTGATGATGTTCATACCTGTGTGGTAAAGCAATTAACTTCCCTATTGTTTCTAGAAAGCATGAACAAACATTTTAGTACACAATTCTCTCTATTAACACTGCATTAGTTTTTATCTTTCAGCCTGGATCAACATCACAAGCTTGCTCATCATCATAGGGAAAAGATATACCATCTGCAAATAATTCAGCCAATATTGTTGTCAATTTTCAGTCATTAAAACCATTTGTGATGAACTCGTTGGCAAAGATAGCAAATCAAAGACAGTACTAAGAGCATCATCCATTACATGAATGAAATGAACTCGGTAGTAAATTCAAAAGGTCCGTTTAGAGAAGAATCCATCAATAAATTAAGAAAAATGGGAGGAGGATATGCTTGTTTGTAACAAATGAGAAAGAACAAATCTCTTAATGCCTTCAAAAACTTAAATCATAATTTGAAATCAATAATAAAAAAATTCTAATAATTGATTATAACAGGAGAAAAAAAATTGAAAAAAATTATTGTTGCAGTTCTAATAACAATTATTTTTTTATATTTAGATATCATGTTTAAAGCTTGAAGGGTTTATTGTTGAGAGGTTAGCATATAATTTGTTCTGATACAATTTAAATTTTCCTTCCGTTCCTACTATAATTTTTTCACACATTTTTTAAATTACCTTTAGGGACTGTTTCTTTGTGACTGAAATATTTGGTTATATATATATATATATATGAGCCTACCAAAAAATCCTTGTAGAAGTCAAGACAAAACTCATTATTGAGGTTCACATGCATGCACATAACTCCAAATCGTTAAGTTCACTTTTCACATGTTTGTTTATTGCCTTTATAGAAAAGTATACCAGTGAGTAGGCCAATAGGCTTGTCCAATAAAAAAAACATGTTATCTACTTATTTTATTTTGATTAAAAACGTTTAAGTATTATTAATATAAATTTTTATAAAAATAAAATATGATATTAATTTTTTAATCACTGGTCTTGTTAGATATTTTCGAGGTAAAAAGCTACGAGTGAATCATATAAGAGAATATCATATCAACTTTAACCTAAAATTTTAAGGTAAGTTATGATCTTTCAACCTAAAATCTTAAGGTAGGTTATGGATTTTTCTCCCTTATAACTTATTCAACTTTCTCATTTCTACCCTACCAGACTTCAAATTTACACTTAAATTCTCAACAACTTCATCAATTATTAATAAAACCCTTTTATTTTATAACTGTTATTTGAACAATTTATTATTATTTACTCAATTTTATGTTTAATAGTTTCATAAAGTTCTTTATTTGGCTTCTTGTAACATTTCATATTCATTTTATTCAAATTTATCAGTTAATGTTAAACTGTTTACTATAATTATTACGTTATTTACGTGTCTAATTTTATAAATATCTCTTAAAAAAATAATAAGATTTCAAAACTAACTAAAAATCTAAACTATAATTAATTACTTAAGAGTGTGATTTTACTACAGAAGATAACTTAAATCTTATAAAAATATATCATTGTAGTTATAATTTTATATGTATTACCAGAATAAGTTGTTAATGGTTTAAACACATCTAAATCCATAAGTTGGCGTAATAATTTTTAAATCTTAGTTAAAATTAGTTTTGTCAATTTTTAAACTTATCTTAAACATAGCCTGTGTATTCGAATTTAAGAAAAAAATTCGTCTTCTCCGATACGTCCCGTAATTACTAAAGTAAAAGGATGCTGTCTTAGGAATTTGGGGTATCTTTCATTATCATAGTTGAATAGATTGAAAATGTTGTGATTTAAAAATATTAAATAAGAAAATATTCATGTCTACGAAATAGAAAAAAAAAATCATTATATTTTATTACAGATAATAAATAAATAAATAGTATCATTAAAAACAGGATTACCCCAGTAAAGATGGTATTTTCATGAAGAAGATAAGTTATAGGCTACTCAACATTCCATTATTACTTTAAGATAGAACACAGGTACATAAATATACAAATAATTATACTGAGCTTGAAAACAGAAAAGCATAACATATAAATCTTCACAATCCTTCCTGAAAATAACAGAAAAGACACCCAGTAATGGACACATAGCACAACAACAGAACAGTGGAGTGAGGAAGCCAACGCATTGGAGTACATAAAATATATATATATATGGGTTGTCCAAGCCATGATGATCTTAGAGATCATTTTGAATTTTCAGGATTAATATCAGAGCAACGCCTATTTTGGGGAGCTTCAGCACAATGGTTTTGAATACTATCCTTAATACTGGACCCACAATTCAGATAAAATTGACCCACATTCCGACAACCGGGGCTCGCCTTACTAGGGTTCATAGTACCAGGAACCACTTCCTTAGCAGTTTGATCAAGGATTCTGCGTAAGTGGGAGCTGGAGACGGTGGGAAGCTGTGAATCCAAATGGTGGACATTGAGACAGTCCTCGACGGAGCCATCGCACAGAGGAGTGGTGCCATTGGAGTTGGACATGACGGACACGGCTGCAATGCTGAGATAAATCACCATGACCCACATCACCAAACGCATGGTTGATGCTTTCAGCTCTCTTCTTACTGCTACTAAATCTTAATAGTGAGATATTTTCTCACAACACTCAATGTTTAACACTTACTCTATCCACCCTTAATATATACAATACTCCTTACTCTACGGCACTGCATTAGCGTCGGCATATCACTATCTCAATACCCCACAACGTTATCATCATCAATATTTTAAAACAATAATAATTATTAAAAAAATTATTATCAACTAAAATATATGAAATGAAATGTTTTTTTTTTAAGAAAAAATCTTATCATCTTAATATTTATATAAAATTACAAATTAATTTTATATTATTAAAAAATAAAATTTAAATAATAGTTAATTATAACTATTTACAAAATTTAATTCCTTTTATATATATATATATATATATATATATATATATATATATATATATATTACAAAACACTAGCATTAATTAACACAAATAATAATAATTTGTGTTTCGTAATATATAGTTCAATATTTAAATCCGTTCTCCAAGTGTTGCATCCAGTTTCCATTACTAATAATAATAATAAAAAAAAAAAGGAAAGAAAGAAAAAAAAAAAGAGAGAAGAGGAAAAAGAGTAAATTAACAAGTTCGGTAATGAATGTAATTTGTTGGGTGTTTATTTATGTACTTAGATTTGAACACCATCTAAAATCAAACTGTTAATGCAATTTTTTTTATACTCTTAATAAGATAACAAACCATGATTGTTCCTTTATGGCTTTTAAGTTTAAGGAAAAAACTATTTCAATAACCTTTCTTCTCTAAAACTGTTTTTAATAATATAATAATAATTTGAAATTATTTTTAAGTGTTTTTTATTTATTATATTAATATTAATGAGATTGTATTAGGAATTTTTTTATCTTATATCATATATCGTGTCAATATATCATTCCTCAAAGTTTAAATATAATGTTCTTTCATTCTAGAGGTAGAATGACGTTCCTATCACAACCACAAAGAATCCGTTCCAATGGCAGATTTGTCCCTGCGATAAATAATAAACTGAAACTTAATTATAAATAAATTATTTCTTTGGTACTACGTAGATTAGTGCAGGTCTTGTACTTATTTTCATTTTGACAATCATAAAGATAAAATAATAAATAATACGACAAATTTTATAAAAATTAAAAAATTATAAAAACACGTCTTGTACTTATTTTCATATTTTATGGTCATAAAGATAAAAATAATAGATAAAAATAATAAATAAGACAACAATTTTTATAAAAAATAAAAAAATTATAAGAGTAAAAATAAAATGATATAAAAGGTATGTACACAATAAATAACTACTAAAATTCGTGTATATATATATATATATAAATATAAATAGAGTAACTTTAAATTATTAATTAATAATGTAAAAATATTCACATTATTAATATATCAAAATTAATATAATTAAAAACATGTTTGGAATGTTTATATAAAAAAAATCAAAATGTAAAAATGATTATTTACAATTTCGTTCTGAATGTCAGTTTGAAAACACAAATTACTCAAGATATTTTTTCCTTCTGAAATATTCACGCTACAGTGACACGAAGGAGACAGTATGCGAAATCTGTTTCCTGAGTAGACTTGAAGTCTCCGCTCAATTCTTTAAAAACAGTGACGATCACCCTTTACAAGCATTGGTTGATTTATGGTGTTTGAGCTAATCTGTGGTGCTTTGATTACATTACAGTTTATCCATGGACGAAACTGCCTCTCGAATTGGTTTAGGAACCATCCTACTCCTCCTTTTCACTTTGTTGTTGTTGTGTCTTTCTTTCTGTTGTACAGCAGACGATATATATCGTCCCAATGACCTCTTCAGCATCAGCTGTGGCTCATCCACCAACTTCTCCACTCTCGATACTCGGAATTGGACTGCAGACATCAAATTCCTCTCTCCAACCCACCAAGCAGTTGCTGCTCCTCCACTCACACCATCTACCCAACAGGGTCCTTACAACTCCGCTCGTCTCTCTCAATCCCAATTCACCTACTCATTCCCTGTCACCCCAGGCCCTAAGTTCCTCCGCCTTTTCTTCTACTCAACTTCATACCCCAACTTTGATCGCTCCAAAGCCTGTTTCACTGTCCAAGCAGGCCCATACACCCTCCTTCAACATTTCAATGCTTCCCTTAATGCTGACGCCCATGGCAACCCTGGCAACACCAACATCTTGTTCAGAGAGTATTGTGTCCACGTAGGAGATGGTGAGAGGCTCAAAATAACATTCATTCCCAGCGCCACTGATTCGCATGCTTTCATTAATGGAATCGAGATTGTTTCCATGCCCTCTTATCTCTACTACACCAATCCTGACAAGGACAGCAATGCATTTCCCAAAAGTGCTGAGTCCGGCAACCGATTTCCCATTGAAATCAACAATGCTTTGGAGACAATGTACAGGTTAAGAGTTGGAAAGAGACCTATTCCCTCCTCAGAGGACACGGGTATGCTCAGGACCTGGGATGTCGATACAAAATATGTAACCAGTCCAAGTGCAAATTCTATTGATTTGGACATTAAAACCAAATTGAACTTCACTGAAGAGACTCCTAATTACACAGCACCAGATGCAGTGTATAGATCCTCAAGGAACATGGGCCCTGATGACTCTAACATGAGGTTCAACCTCACATGGCAGTTTGGTGTTGATGTGGGCTTCACCTACTTGCTAAGTTTACACTTTTGCCAGCTTGACCCGGAGGTTAATAAGCCTGGAGACCTCACCTTCCTCATCTTCATTCAGGATCATTTGGTTGAAGAGTGGGCTTCCGTCCTCGCTTGGAGCGGTAAACAGAAGGGTGTACCTATGGTTAGACAGTACACAGTTAACATCCTACCCAATCACGACATGACAAATCTTTCACTTAAAATGCATCCTAACCCTGAAAGCTCGTTCAAGGACGCCCAAATAAACGCAATTGAACTCTTCAAAATCAATGTCTCATCGGGTAATCTCGCTGGACCAAACCCATCCCCTCCTCCAAAATCCTCCGAGGGTCTTATTCAAAGTTCAATCAAGAAAAGCAAAGGCACCACGAGGCCCCGAATTGCCGCCGTCGCCGGTGCAGTTTCTGGTGTTGTTTTACTCTCCTCTATAGTCACTTTCTTCATCATCAAACGCAACAAGAACGTTGCCGTTGACAAAGGTTCCAACCAAAAAGACGAAACTTCTCGCTGGGGTGGCTCATCATCGCTACCAACCAACCTCTGCCGTCACTTCACAATCGCAGAAATCATAGCAGCTACCAACAACTTTGACGAACTCTTCGTGGTTGGCGTTGGAGGTTTCGGTAACGTGTACAAAGGCTACATCGATGCCGGTTCAACACCTGTGGCAATCAAAAGACTCAAACCGGGTTCTCGGCAAGGTCTGAACGAGTTCATGAACGAGATCGAAATGCTCTCTCAACTTCGTCATCTTCATCTTGTTTCCCTCATCGGTTACTGCTACGAGAGAAACGAGATGATACTCGTTTACGATTTCATGGATCGCGGAACCCTCTGCGACCATCTCTACGGCACTGATAACCCTTCGCTCTCATGGAAGCAAAGGCTCCAGATATGCATAGGTGCTGCACGAGGACTGCATTATCTGCATACAGGTGCAAAGCACATGATCATCCACCGTGACGTGAAGAGCACGAACATCTTGTTGGATGAAAAATGGGTAGCAAAAGTTTCGGACTTCGGGTTATCTCGAATTGGACCAACGGGTTCTTCAATAACCCATGTGAGCACTCAGGTGAAAGGTAGTGTTGGGTATTTAGACCCGGAGTATTACAAACGACAGCGTTTGACGGAGAAGTCGGACGTGTACTCGTTTGGGGTGGTGCTCTTGGAGGTATTATGTGGGAGGCAGCCTTTGCTCCGTATGGTGGAGAAGCAACAGGTGTCACTTGTTGACTGGGCGAAGCATATGTTTGAGAAGGGGTCTCTGGGTGAGATTGTAGATCCTGCACTGAAGTGCCAGATAGCACCTCAGTGTTTGCGCAAATTTGGTGAGGTTGCGCTCAGCTGTTTGCTTGAGGATGGGACTCGGCGACCTTCCATGAACGACGTCGTTGGGGTGCTGGAGTTTGTTCTGCAGCTTCAGCTTCAGGATACTCCTCATGTGAATGTTGTGTTGGGGAATGGTGAGGATTATGAAGACAGTACTACTGAGGACATGTTTAGCAGTAGCCATAGTAGTGTTCATGTTTCAGACTATAGTCATAACAGTGGACTGAGCACTACAAGCTACGGGAGTAAAGAATCTAGCAGGTTGATCCCAGAGCTTGTTTTCTCTGAGATTAAGGATCCAAAGGGACGCTGATGGAGGTTGTTCTTCACAAATCATACGTTAATGGCCGGATTAGTACGAGAGCTAATTCGATATTAAGACATTAATCCATTAATAAACTGAAGTTATCTTGAAAAATCTCGTATCAACTAGAAATATTATAACGTAATAATATATAACTGAGTCACACCATCACCTTGTTCAATCAATCTTGTAAAACTGAGTCAAGAGAGGATTCCTACAAAATTCGGATGGAGTTTGGTGATCAAGGATAAGAAAATTGTTGGAAAGTTATATATAATTAGTTCTAATTATACTTAAATATATTTCCGTGCTTAATTTGGAATAAAAAAGTTTGGTTCTTCTATAATAAACTCTTGCTTCAGTAAAGAGGTACGTACTATGAGAGTTGGGATGGTTTACAGTTAATTCATCATGAAAAGTTTTTTTTTTTTTTTTTTCAGTTTTACAGTAATCTTGTGAAGTTTGAGAACTATCAAAAGTTTGATTGGCAACTTATAAATATTGGACAACATGCAGAATAAGGAAGAGTGTAATATAGAAACAACTGAGTGTTCAAAGCAAAACTTTGAAACAGTGTTGAGATGTAGAATTGTATTCAGAAGTCAACCAAACTAAAAACTTTGCTTCCGCTAAATTTAAAATAAAAACCATACCTAAACTTATTGATGAACATACTATTTCTTAATGTAACGGAATTCTATTTACGCCCTCTTTTTATTTCCTGCATCCCAATGTGTTTTTGTTAAATTCTATTCCAACAATGGGATTAGATTTATTATTCCAAAAGTAAAATTTTAAAATCATGAAAAATAAATACTATGGACAATTTATATTTTACAAAAATATTTACTTACAAAATCTAATTTCCCAAACTCAAATTTGTACATTTTTAAAATTAGATTTCTGAAACTAAAAAGTTATATAAATAATTATTTTTGAACATCCAAATAAATGAAACATCTTATTCTCTCTCTCTGTTACATTACATCTTTAATCATGTCAAAAATTCAAAACTCCTAAAATCTATAATATGTTAGTATCATTATGAAACTAATGTTCAAACTAAAATTTGATTTGAGGCCATCCTGGGTGATTGATTGACAATGGATATGATGTGGTATAAACGAGTAATATTTAATAAGTTGTGTAATTTTAAGTAAGTATAAACGAGTGAGATATTATCTGAGTTAATATCATATATACTAATATTTATTTTTAATATTATAGAGAGAAGACTTTTCTTTAAAGATAGATTCAGTATTTGTTGCTTGAGAACAAACAAGCTTTTAAGTTTAAGATTGTTTTATAAATAATAACTATAGAACATAAATCTTCTATTTTTGGATCTTAATTGTCTAAAAAAAATTTAACATATTTAAAAGTAAATAATTAAATTATGATGTATTTTATAATTGATTTTGTCCTAAATAGATTGAAAAGGCCAAGGAGATCACATTATCTTTAGTTGTAGCCAAAACAATAAAGTATAAGTATTTTTTTTTACTTCGGTATTATTTTCAATGTTAAATTTGTTTTTAACTTTTTAAAATGAGTTAATGTTATCTCTTTTATCATTATTAAATCACGTAATAAAGTAAAATATAACATTAATATACTCATATTTATTATAATGTAAATTTAACATGATATTAAATGCTGATCACAAACACGACTTATCAACCCACATGGCTTGATAATTACATAAATATTACATTATAATAATTCTTTAACCAACTTAATAACGTGAAGATAATGTTGAGTCACTTTAAAAATAACAAAACTACATTAACACAAAATAATAGCAAAACAAAAATTAAAATAATAATAATAATACAGATATAATGAGAAAAAAAAATCAATTTAACCTAATATATAATAATAAAAATGTTTTTATTCAGTCTCTCTATTTCCTTTATTACGATATTACATTCATTAACTTACAACTTTGTAATAGTTTGTTAACAGTTTTAAGTGATTAGTTTTCTAGTGTGTTTTTTTTTCAAATATTAACGTTTTAAAATATTTACTTTCAAACGTTTTTACTAGAAATTACTGTTTTTTTATTATTCTTAACTGCTTATTATGCTTTTACATTAATTTCTGTCAACTTTTAAAATATTAATATTTTTATTTTTAAATCTAAAGTACTTTTTTTCTCAGTTCTTTATTAAAATTATATATTTTATATTTTTTAAGTAAATAATTTAGATTATAAATTAACCTAAATTAAAAAAAATATTGTTGTTAATAGATAAAATACTGAGTAGTTTATATGTGATTCCTCCTTGTGTGAACAAGTGAATGAGAAAGTGATGAAGTGATACAATTATCCATTTATGAAGTAGACGAGACATGTGTGGTGTGGCTGGAACCAGGCACAAGTTGCGTAGAAGATGATAAAAGTTGAATGGGTGATATAATATAAGTCACAAAAATTTTAAAAGTTGAAAGAAAAGCATATGATTTAGACATATCCCGTTGCAGACAAAATATATGTTTCTAGTAACTTTATCAAGTCTTCTTTGCAAGTCTTCGCCATTGTTTTTATTCAGTAGTTCATTACTTATGATCATTTCCATTTTCCTTTCTTTATTTTCATTAAAAAAAAATCCCACATCTAAAAGAATATTCTCAAAATAATTATAATTCATACACTAATAAAATATTTAATTAATTATTGTGATTCCAACTAAACTCTAATTATAATGTTACCTTTTCCTTTCTATATGTCGTCTACCATGACACAACTCAGAAATAGGATACTAAAATAATAGGTTCATAAGTGACAAAAAGTTGAAGTTGAAAGAAAACCATAGGACTAGAAGTAGGGACGCATTCCTTTGAGGCCAAACAAGCATTGCTCCTAATAATTTTATCTAACTCTTGCCTTTTTCTTTTTTCTACTTTCAATTAATGAAACTCTAATCATGTGGAACTGACGATAAATTTTTAGTAGTAATATTAGGTATACCTTTTTTTTTCTTTTATCATCTAATGTTTTAACAATTATATATTTTAATTGCAAATAAATTATAAATCAATCTTTACTGATATTATTTATTTTGAAAAAAAAAACAAGAATTCAAAGCTTCTATGATCTTAAAACAGAGCGACGAATGTGTTGTCTAAAAATTGTTTTATTTAATAAAAATGATAAACAATGTCAATAACTTGAAAAGTTGGTACATTAAGATTTTTTTAATAACTATAAAGAAAATAAAAAGATAGAAGATTATCTCAAATAAAGAAAAAAAAACAAAAATAATAGTAAGATTTTACTTTATTTCTTTTTGGTCAGAAAAATAATATTAAGATAATAAACACGTATATAAGAAAGAAGATAGACTATAATAACACATTTTACTATCTAATCATTACTATTTTACAAATTTTATCATCCATCTTTTCCTTTTCTTGTATTATTATTTCAAAAAATTTATTATATTTTTTTCACATTTTATTATTATGTTGTTGACAAAACAGTGTCATTTTTTTTAGAAAAAGAAAACCAATTAAACGATGTTGTTTTTTAAGGATACATCAATACTTTCAATACACGTTTAAAAATTTGGTAAAATGCATGAATATTAAAAATGTATGATAATAAAATATGAAAAAATTGAGTAGTAAAATCCGTACAAATGACTATTTAGATGTCAAATTTGCAATTGTGTAAAAAAAAGTAAAAGAATATATAAAAATTAAAATTCTAAAACAGAAAGAAAATATTCAACTTTAATTTATAACATATTGTGATATGTACTAAATCCATCTTTTAATCATTTTATAATAATTTTCAATAGTTTAGTTATGTAGGAATAAAAAATAATATTATCATGAAAATGTGATATTTCAAATACCAGGAAGTTTTAAAAAATTATTTTAAGAGAATGTAAAACGGGAGAAACTCCCAGTTAAAAAATTTTAAGAGGCTGTTTTTATATTTATATTATTATTATTATTATTATTATTATTATTAATATGAATAATAAAATCATTACTAAAAGTTGTATTATCAATAATAAATGCTAATAAAATAACATTAATAATGTTAATAATAACAATATTTAAACTAAATTGATTCAAAAAAAATATTTTTATTTTTTTTTATATATTTTTTTTATTAAATATTCTTTAATTTTATCTTTATTTCTTTTTCTTTTCTATTTCTTGTCCTTTTATTTTATTTTTCTACTTACCATAAAAAGTTGTGCTTTCACCCGAGCATTAATTTTTTTTATAAATTCATCAATTAATTTGAAATTTTACCATATTATATTAATAAAAATGTTATGTTCAGATTTAAATAATTTGTTTTATAATTTGTATTTGATTTAAATAAATTATCTCCTTATTCGTATCTAATGAATAAATTATTCGTTATTGAAATATAACGACAAATATCTATTATTTTATGAAGTTAAATTTTATTTATAATTTTTACTTAAATTTATAAATATAAATACAGAAAAACGTTAATTTGCAATTAAATTTTGTTGTATCATATTATATATAGTTTTTTCAAAAAAACTTCTTTTAATGTTTCATTATAAATCAACATCGAAGAAGACGAAAAAAAATTATACTCATAGATAAATAAAATTAAGGTATAAAAAAGATAAATAAAATTAGCATTAACTTTGTTTTTTTTTTTTTATTATTGAACACAAAAAGCCCACAAAATGGCAGAGATTGGACCATGGAACATAGCAGAAACATGAAAGAAAAGTGAGTGAGTAAATTTTTAACATTTAGCCTTTGTTTGGTTGGAGTGATTTGAGAGAGTGGAAATGAGAGAGTGAAAAAGAGGGATTTGAAGAGAAATGAAGATGAAATTAAAGTTGTTTGGATGAATGGAAAGTGAAAGGAAAGTTTATGGAAAATTGTGAATGATTTGATTGATATGAGATATAAAAATTATAATTTTAATTGATTATTTAAGAAAATTACCATTTTACCCTTTGTATAAAATAAGGTTCAAATGATTATAAATATAATTTTTTAATTAA